GGGGTTTATTCGGGGGAGGCTTACTGTATAGTCGGAGGTTTGCGGTATGTGTGTTTTTGTGCCTCGTCATATTTCCGTTTCGTCTTAAACGTTTTTCACAAACATCACTTTCTTAAGTCTTTTCATTTGTATGAGTTTTCTTGCATCTTTTGCAGTTTGAAATGTCCGCAAAGTTATTTGATGGATTACTATTCTTCTTTGGGAAAACAAATTCTGCCACTATCTTCGCATCTGTCATTGATGCCATTGTTCTGAGTAAGACGTCTCGTTCAGCATGGTCGTAATATTTCTCTTCCAAAACAAATTCAGAGACAATCTCTGAATCCGTCATCGATTCCATTCTTGCCAATGTTTTTGTTCTTTCGTCTTGATTCTAAGCAAAATAATAAGTTTTTGAGGCAAGCCCACCTACATGATATTTGCTCCATATTTACAGAGAAGAATTGTGTGAATCAAACAAAATTTTATATATAATTTACTTGCAAAAAGATACTTTAATTTCTTATTTACCTTACAGATTTTTTTCTGCACCAGGCCTTTTATGTGGCTGCTGATCTAAAAGATAATGGATTAATTATATTCCGGTATAAGTTTATTTACCTACCAAAATGCAACCAATTTCTTTAGGTCCGGGTTCGGAAAACTTGAGTTCTTTCATATACACGATGGTTCTCGTTACCAAAATTTGGAAGCCGATTCGTTGCGATGTAGAAGGGACAGTAAAAAATAGCTTGTGCTAGTTCAACAGCGCATCCTTTTCCATTATAGTTCTGGCGAGTTTTAAATCCATAGATGACAAGTTATCGTCAATAACCAATTCTGTGTCCTGCCGTATCATACTGGCTGATACCACATAAATTAATACCACACATACAGTGTCACATACTAACCATGTGCATATACTGTAATACCGTGCACATAAATTAATACCACACATACAGTGTCTCATAATAACCATTTGCATATACTGTAATACCACACACATCAATTAATACCACACTTACAGTGTCTCATAATATCCACGGACATACTTTAATTGCACACACACAAATTAATACCACACATACAGTGTCGCATAATATCCATGTGTATAGTGTAATACCACACACAAATAAATTAATACACACATACAGTGTCACATAATATCTATGGACATACTGCAATACCACACACATAAATTAATACCACACATACAGTGTTGCATAATATCCATGGACATACTGTAATACCACACATAAATTAATACCACACGTACAGTGTCACATAATATCAATGGATATACTGTAATACCACACACATAAATTAATACCACACATACAGTGTCTCCTAATAACCATGTGCATATACTGTAATACCACACACATAAATTAATACCACACATACAGTGTCGCATAATAACTATGGACATGCTGTAATACCACACACATAAATTAATACCACACACATAAATTAATACCACACATAGTGTTGCATACAGGGCTCGAATTTTATCGCGGCAATCGCGGCAATTGCCGTAGAGGGAGAAAAAAATGCCGTGGATCATTGCGGCAACTCCGACAATTTTTTACCGTATAGTGCAATCTTTATCTTTGATACTTGAATTCAGTTGCTGATCAAATCATGCGTAAATCACTATTTTAGTCTCAAAATGCCGTGGAAACTGCCAAAATTGCCGTAGACAGCTGTTACGTTCCACGGCAATTTTTAACGCCATTGCCGTCGATTGATTTCAGGGAAATTCGAGGCCTGGTCGCATAATAATAGAGAGGTATCCATATATGCGGGACGCACGGCACTTATTTACGGGACGCATTTTAACGTGTCCTTGCGTCCCGAGAACTTCAGCGTTTCTAGCAAGGGGCCTTTGTTTCGGTCTGGACTCGCGAGTAACTCAGTTATTCTTTATCCTTATATTTTTGAGATAGTTGCATCCCAACATGAAGCCCCACCCCCTTGACTACGGTTTGAAATATTTACATCCCCCCTTTCTTTTCTTTACCACAAATTAATATTTTATACGTTTTCCATGTAAAAAAGCTGATGAATACAAGATATGATGAATTGAACATTTGTTGGCCTGTATTAGGATACTGTATATTAAAAGAATAATAACAGGGTCTCAAAAGCAGTTTTTCGGATGAAAAAACCTGGGATCCACTCCTCCACATTGCTCTGTGTGACACGGACACATGGATTGATCCACGTCAAGGATGCGATCTCCACAAAAAGATTCTATCCTTAAGCTAAGATGAAAAGGTGGTTTTCAACCAGTCCAACATATGACATAAAGTTACAAAGAATCTTACATTGTCCTTTTGTATGCGTACGATTATCGAGTGTTGCAGCCTTTTGAGCACCGAGACAGTTCTTCGATTGCCACCAAGGGAACAAACAACATCAGTGGTCTTTGGGGAAAGATCGGCTGTAGCATGAATCTGGGAAAAAATGGACAAACTCAATTTTTTTCAACGAAAAGTACATTAACACACCTTCCACATTTTACACCCATAAACAGGAAGAATATATAACTATAAGTAGCTCTACCGTCGCCTTTTTTACATTGAAATGCGATTACAATGAAACCTTGCTTAAAGAATTCTATGAACACTCAATTTAAATAATGATATATCCTTACTTGCCATTCATGGCAACTGTAAAAGACAAAACAAAATGTAAGCGAATGATAACAGAATAGAATCCTTCTAGAACGAATAAACAATTGGAACACATAAACGATTTATCTCGCCAAAACGATCGAAGAGTTGCTGAATAAATAAGGAATGTTTAAACTGGCTTATCCATAACTTTAAAATAACAGTAAGCTTTTCATTATAGATGAATTTCACTAAGCAACATTGTACAGGGGATGATTTTATCAGTGTGAGAAGAAATGTGCAATTCTCTTTCTTCTATGGGCTAAGCAGAGGACTGGGACTAGGATGTCCTAAATAAGAAGATAGACACCTTACGATTCATTTTTTATTGGCATCCCTATATATGACATACACACATCAATTTTTATAACAAATGTATTGACATTTTTATAAGAGTTGAAAAAAATAAAACACAAAATTAGAAATCAACGAACCATGTAGATGTATTCCATCATATGCTTTTTCCGCATTTATCGCTTCACCTCTATTTCGGTAGGAGATCTCAGCGGTTCCTTGCGACGTCCCCGATTTGTCGTAATGAATGTGTAAATGGTTCGATTTTACCAAACTCACTGAAGCGTTCCTTTATGGGAATGTTTTAACTGACTTATCCATCATTTTAAAATAACAGTAAGCTTTTCATCATATTTATAGATGAATTTCAGTAAGCATCATGGTATAGGGGATGGCGGTCAACCTGCATTTATCAGCATGAGAAAATGTGAAATTCTCTTGATTCTATGTACTAGACCCATTTGGGCCAAAAGTGGTGCATTTTCCCGTGCGTAATACAAATTAGTACAAAATTTGCAAGCTTTGCACACATACAGTGTCGCATAATATCCATGGATATACTGTAATACAACACACATAAATTAATACCACACATACAGTGTCTCATAATATCCATGACATACTGTAATACCACACATAAATTAATACCACACATACAGTGTCGCATAATATCCATGGGCATAGTTTAATACCACACACATAAATTAATACCACACATACAGTGTCTCCTAATAACCATGTGCATATACTGTAATACCACACACATAAATTAATACCACACATAGAGTGTCGCATAATAACCATGGCATGCTGTAATACCACACACATAAATTAATACCACACACATAAATTAATACCACACATAGTCACGCATAATAATAGAGAGGTATCCCTATATGCGGGACGCACGGACTTACTTACGGGACGCATTTTAACGTGTCCTTGCGTCCCGAGAACTTCAGTGTTTCTAGGAAAGGGCCTTTGTTTCGGTCTGGACTCGCGAGTAACTCAGTTCGTCCGGATTTACTTCGCTCAAAACGTAATTATCCTTATATTTTGAGATAGTTGCATCCCAACCAACGATTTCTGTAAGGGACCGTTCATTATTAATACAGGAGAGGGGGCTGGTGAGGATCTGGAAAAAGCAATAGTCTGGTAGAGGGAGATGTATACTTTTGCTGAGGAAAACATAAAGCCCCACCCCCTTGACTACGGTTTGAAATATTTACATCCCCCTTTCTTTTCTTTACCACAAATTAATATTTTATACGTTTTCCATGTAAAAAAGCTGATGAATACAAGATATGATGAATAGAACATTTGTTGGCCTGTATTAGGATACTGTATATTAAAAGAATAATAACAGGGTCTCGAAAGCAGTTTTGCGGATGAAAAAAACCTGGGATCCACTCCTCCGCATTGCTCTGTGTGACACGGACACATGGATTGATCCACGTCAATGATGCGATCTGCAAAAAGATTCTATCCTTAAGCTAAGATGAAAAGGTGATTTTTCAACCAGTCCAACATATGACATAAAGTTACAAAGAATCTTACATTGTCCTTTCGTATGCGTACGATTATCGAGTGTCGCGGCTGTAGCATGAATCTGGGAAAAAATGGACAAACTAATTTTTTTCAACGAAAAGTACATTAACACACCTTCCACATTTTACACCCATAAACAGAAAGAATAATATATAACTATAAGTAGCTCTACCGTCGCCTTTTTGTACATTGAAATGCGATTACAATGAAACCCTGCTTAAGGAATTCTATGAACACTCAATTTAAATAATGATATATCCTTACTAATTGCCATTCATGGCAACTGTAAAAGACAAAACAAAATGTAAGCGAATGATAACAGAATAGAATCCTCCTAGGACGAATAAACAATTGGAACACATAAACTATTTATCTCGCCAAAACGATCGAAGAATTGCTGAATAAATAAGGAATGTTTAAACTGGCTTATCAATAACTTTAAAATAACAGTAAGCTTTTCATTATAAATGAATTTCACTAAGCATCATTGTACAGGGCATGATTTTATCAGCATGAGAAAATGTGCAATTCTCTTTCTTCTATGGGCTAAGCAGAGGACTGGGACTAGGACGTCCTAAATAAGTAGATAGACACCTTACGATTTTGGGGCGACAACGACGCCCAAAAATTCGTCTTATATTATCAATCGATGAATTGAATGCAGTTTTAGAAGTTACCACACACATAAATTAATACCACACATACAGTGTCTCATGATATCCATGACATACTGTAATACCACACACATAAATTAATACCACACATACAGTGTCGCATAATATCCATGGACATACTGTAATACCACACACATAAATTAATACCACACATACAGTGTCTCATAATATCCATGGACATACTGTAATACCACACACATAAATTAATACCACACGTACAGTGTGGCATAATATTATATTCGGGGGGGGGGGGCTTATATTCGGACGGGCTTATTTTCCGGGTGAGGGCTTATATTTGGAATGATGCGATGGCTTATATATGGTAGAGGGGCTTATACATGTATATGGTGGAGGGGCTTGTGTATATGGTGCAGGACCTTATACATGTATATGGTGGAGGGGCTTATATATGTATTTGGTGGAGGGGCTTATATATGTATTTGGTGGAGGGGCTTATATATGTATATGGTGGAGGGGCTTATATATGTATATGGTGGAGGGGCTTATATATGTATATGGTGGAGGGGCTTATACATGTATATGGTGGAGGGGCTTATACATGTATATGGTGGAGGGGCTTATATATGTATATGGTGGAGGGGCTTATACATGTATATGGTGGAGGGGCTTATACATGTATATGGTGGAGGGGCTTATACATGTATATGGTGGAGGGGCTTATACATGTTTATGGTGGTGGGGCTTATACATGTATATGGAGGGGCTTATATATATAGTGGAGGGGCTTATATATATAGTGGAGGGGCTTATATATATAGTGGAGGGGCTTACATATGGTGGAGAGCTTATACATAGGGCGACATGCGGTGTTGATAACAATATTTATTATAGTTGTAAAGTGTACTGTGAACAAAAAGAAATACAAACATACAGTATATAACACATTATAACATGGTTTGCTCTGTTTTGTTTGATGTACCGCAGTGATTAACTGGCGTATTGCCACTTCGGGGAATTGCATTTGCTTGGTTGAATGTCAAACCATTGGCTCTGACCCAGGTGTTGATGTTGTCAATATCGTTTTGAAGACCAACGGTATATGTTCACAGTTGTTAACCTAACCTTGGTGTCATCAACGAAACTAGCCACCTTTGATGTTTTTACTGTCCGGGGCAGATCACCCACATACAGAAAAACCGGGACACAGATAGAGGCTTGGGGATCTCCAGATGTTAGAAACAAGTTCTTTAGCCATTGAGAAATTAAGTTCTTTAACCATACACATGCAATAACAGTCGCACCTTTTTCATATTTTACGTTTACTTTTCCTTGAGTATTCTGAAGTACTTTTAGACAACAATTTTTTTGTTTGAATTAAGCTTGTCTCATTGTACCTTTGGGCAATATGGCAGATTCCTGTCTCATCAGTAGCCAATCAAGTGCTTGCCATATATAAATAATACTTACCAGAATTAGCGCTCTACGTTTCTTGGGAGAGACCGTAAATGTATCCAGACGATGCTTATACTTCTGGGAGTCAAAAGTTAAAATATGAATAAATAATAAGTCAATTATTGTATATTTACATTAGATAATTTTTATTAGAATTGCGATTGTCGCAATCGGCCGCAATATTTGAATAGATAGTGACTCACAACTAAATCTTTAAAGTGAATACAATTCAATCTTTCTCGTATTTTCTCGTATACATCTTTCTTTCTTAAGTGAATACAACTAAATCTTTCTCTTACAGGCAACATGTATATAAAAAAGTCAAAATAAAAATATTTTAAAAATCACAAGCTTATTTGCTGGTATATTGTCATAGCCTATCCGTTTAATTTGCATAGTAATACTGAGTATTCCCATACAACACATACCAATATAAATTAATGACGCTAGTCTACGTTGATTACAATATTAAGCTGTTGATATTTTGCTTGTATATTTTACTGTAACAAAAAACAAACCGGTCTATATTTTCCTTACTTACCGCAGTGACAATCTCAAAGTCTGGTAAAAGCTGTCTGGGAGGAGTGATGTCATTGGACCCCTGGATAGGATTGTATTCTCTGGGTTCTTCTCCATCACCAGCATCTGTTTGTAAAATATTATTAGTTAGTAATAGAATAATAATAAAATAAACTAGTATTTAAACTACAACCATGACAGAATCCATTTAGCTGACATAGGCTATCGATGACATGCACTATTCTCATCATACTGGCATCAAAAATGCTCATTCCTTTCTAGAAACACTTGGACAGATAATGAAACTGCAGTTTGTTGATTTTTGATAATCGTGTAAAACTTATGATAGTCGATCCAATCCAGGAACAGTTGGTCCAATGCTGCACGTGGAATTTTAATTCCTTGGGCCGTGGAGCTATCATGGTATTTTTTGACGCAAATCTGCCAATGTCGCGAAGCAGTTATGGGGGGGGGTAGGTAAAACTTTATTTAACTGCGCTTACCCCTACAGCGAAGGCTGATTTCCAAGGGGGGCGTAGATTTAAATAGTTCAAAAATACAATTAATACAAATTATGGTCATACATAGCCTCCTCCGCAGACATCGCTTTCAATTATCGGGCAAAATTTCTTGCAGGCAAAAAAATTAATAGTGGCGATGTCTGCCAAAACCCGAAGACTTTGGACCAGCTATGTAACCCTTCTGGACCGGCTATGTTACCCCCACCCCCATGGGATTAATTGTTCATATCAAAACTACTACAAAATGTCAAAAGCTGTGTTACCCCTACTCCCATAAGATACGACTTTTTATATTCAGACACAATTCGAAAAAATATCGATCGAGAATATCATTTTTATGTTGCAAATTGAAACAAATATGAATGAAACATTGATTATTTTGCACTTACAACGGATGGCCGGAATTTAACGAAATACAGATGGTCAAACCACGCCGAAACTATGTAAATCGTATCGAAAGACGAAGTGTGAAATGTGAATGGAATTTATAAGAATTTTTGCAACCGTTCAATTTATATTTGGTCTGTATCCTACATGCATATAACATCAAATATTAATACTTTTGGGAAATGGAATACTCCAGAATGCAGATGGAGTGGTAAATGTCAAAATTTCAACTGGATAATAGATGCTCTTGCCTCTTGGAATTGTCGATTACTGTTACACGTATAGTGGACGTGGATGACATTGAAACTGGTTTGTCAACACAAATTTTGAGATATTTCAGCAAAGAACAAACTTCAAATTTACAATCCCATGTGTTTTTACGCTGTATGTTTACGCTGTATGTTACTATAGCGAGAAATATCTCGGGGATTTGTTGAGTACATGTACAGCATGTAAACAACTATGTAAACGCTGAGTAAACTGCTTAGTGCTGACTGTGCTTGTAACACAAATTTCAAGCAACTATTGTGCAAGTTGCAAATGTAAGAAGTGTTTATATATTCAGTAACTATAAGTCAAGCAAAGTTATACAATTTATATTGTTGCTGTATTATGTTAGATGTTATGCTCAAGATTATTCTACTGCATTACTGCATGGTGCCGATGCAAGATCCATCATTGCTGACACGACTTATAGTCGTGTATGGCGTATGCTCTTGATTTTATTGATGTTTGAAGCTATTTTTAACGAGTTATCTTATGCGAAGCTCTATAACGATAACAGTAAAGTGCGATCAAATGGTTTGGTGATGAATGTGCATTTAAACAACGAAATTAGACTGAAGTCATTCGCCTGGAGGCAAACGTGCAAGAAAGTCAAAGTCAAATATATGGGCTCAGCATTTACATCAGGGAAGCAATTGCTTCGTCTCACGAATTTTGCTTTGGCTGCGCTTATTTTACAACGCTCTGGCGATGTTGCTTTATTACTGAATCCTGGCTCCATATCTACTCAGTTGCCAAAGAAACACCTTCACCTTGGTCAAGTAAACGTTAATGGTCTTAGGAACAAGACAATGGAGATTAAAGATTTGCTGAACGACACTGGAATTCATCTCCTCGCTCTCACTGAAACGAAGTTGGACAACCTAATTCTTGACGGTTCTGTGGCTATTGAGGGCTATCAGTTTTTAAAAAGGAATAGAAATGGACATGGGGGAGGAATTGGCTTATATTCTAAAGACTGTTTAGTCTGTAAAGTAAGGAATGACCTATGCTCGCCGTATATTGAAGATCTCTGGGTTGAAATTTGCAGACCAAAAGCGCCCAAGATGTTGTTAGGAATATTTTACTGCCCCCCAAGCGCTAATAAAGACTATATGACTCATGTGTATGACTCTTGGGATAGGGCCACGGACGAAAATTATGAAACATACGTATTAGGTGATTTTAACAAAAATTTGTTTAACCAGGAAGACTCAGCGCTCTTAAGATCGTACGCTGACATTTGTGGTCTAACTCAAACTGTATCCGAAGCGACAAGAACAGTAAATACTGCTCGTTCTACAACAACAACATGCCTTGATCTTATATTCACCAATAATCCTGAACAAAATATGTCTAATAGACACTTCCCGAATTTGCTTGAGTGCACACGAAACAATAGCTTGGAATCGAGGCGGACAATGTAATCCATTGGAAAACTATACTTATTTCCAATGGATTACATTGTCCGCCTCGATTCCAAGCTATTGTTTCGTGTGCACTCAAGCAAATTCGGGAAGTGTCTATTGTAAAGTTATTTCTGTAGGTTTTACCGATCACGATCTTACGGTATTGTCGATAAAGTCTAAAATTCCCAAAGGACCTTCGAAAGTGGTTTACAAACGTAGTTATAAGCATTTTTCTGCAGAGAAATTTATTAATGACTTGAAACTTATTCCGTTCTGGTTGGTTGAATCGTCGGATGACCCTAATGAGGCACTTGATACATTTCTTAATCTGTTCAGAGATATTGCGGACATTCATGCCCCTATTAGGAAATATACAGTTAAATCAAAACCCGCTCCTTGGATAACTCAAAATATTCGCGACTTAATGTTGATGAGAGATGCAGCAAAACGTGAGGCGAAGGTCTCTGGTTTTCCTTCTGACTGGGCGGTTTATAGGAAATTGAGAAACCATGTCGTTAAGGTCAACAGAGAAAGCAAAAGAGCATATTTTCTTGAAGCTATTAATAATACCAAAAAAGATCCAAAGTCAATGTGGAAAACAATAAACAATCTGTTAGGACGCTCAAATTGTCCAATACCAACTTATGCAGAGAGTAATGGTGAAATTTACACAAAACCTAAAGATATTGCCAATCATTTTGCAAAGTTCTTTAATGAAAAAATAAAGAAATATAGATTTGAGATGTCCAACCCGATAGATACGGAGTATGTAACTAAATCAATTACCGAAATAATGACTGGAAAAAACTGTCGGTTTGAGTTCTCATCTTTAAGTCTTTTAGAAGTTCACAGCTGCCTTGCTAAGCTTCCAGATACTAAAGTGACAGGCGTAGACGGCATTGATAATTTTTTGCTTAGAATTGCGTCGAATATCATAGCGGAACCTATTAGATACATTTTTAACTGTTCATATGCGAAGTCAATATTTCCTGATCAATGGAAAGTAGCTAAACTACACCCGATTCCCAAAGATAAGAAACAGCCTTTTGAAGATATAAATAGTCGACCCATCAGTCTTTTAAATGTATTAAGTAAACTGCACGAAAAATTTGCGCATAAACAAATCTGTCACTATGTCTCCGAACATAACTTAATGCTCAAGAATCAACATGCATATAGAATCAATCATAGCACTGAATCAGCACTTTTACATCTGACTGACAGTTGCCTTGACAACATGGAGAATGGTAT